TGATCGAGCTTTAGCAGTAGAGCTTATGTACATTCATTTACATTCCGTGCTTCTCTCGCTTATATATTCGATGAGTTTGTTCAGTTTTTAAGACCGATTATGAATGTTACAATGTTCAATGCACTTTGTGTTTTGTATACCTTCTTCCACTTAAAAGGCGCAAAACCCCACACAAAAAATCACTATTACGCAGTGAATTGAAAAAATTAAATAACAGGATAGTGAAAACTGTCCATCGCAAAATACCCACTTAACCTCACCTTTAAAGTTAAAAATCCTTCAATCCAAGGTGAAAATTTCGGAAAAAAATGACAGAAACCATTTGTTATTGTTCATTTTGCTTGTTGCAGATACAGTCCAGAAGAGTTGCATGCCATGGTTGATCTCAAACCTGAAAAGAAAGAAGACGACTGAATGAAAGTGAATGGCTACAAGGATCATCTTCTGCAGACAATAAACCAACCGGTTGCAATTGCAATTTATTGGTGCCTAAAGCTAATGTTAGACAAGTATCTTTTTATTACATCTCCCGCAATACAAAAAAACTGGCAAACCTGTTCAATCAGGGCCATTTTTTAGAGGCACTGTTTCTTCCGTACTTCAAAACGATAAAAGTAGACGATACATTCAACTGATTGTATGTCATTGTTTAATTTTTATCATAAAGTGTACCTGCAGTTAAAATCATCTTCATATAAAGCCCGTGTCACATGCATCCTTTGTAGTACGATTCAAATAAACGAATGCATGGGACACGGGCTTAAGGGTCTAAGCATTTCGAAACGATGCTCAATGAAAATGTGCATCTGAAAAAGGGCCTTAAGAAATTTCCAGGGTATAGAAAAACTACGGTGTTCATATCACTACTAGAACCTAGTAGAAAGTAAATGTGTGGCAAAACAAGTCACTAAGTTGTGATTTTTTACCAAAAAAAGAAAAGAAATGTTAAAAGTGTTACATTTTACTTGTGCAGAAAACGTTACGGGCTGTTAAGTTTTTGGAAGAATATATCAGGGTTTACAGCAGTTTACACATTTTGTTCAATAGACAATAAGCTTTGAAAAATATGATATTATTTTGCGCCAAAAAATTTCCGTTTTATAAAATGCTCAAGCTTACAAATTTTACAAATCCATTAGGCAAGGTATTTTCTGAACGATGAGAATGCTCAGTCGATAATTGTTAAGTTAATATGTTTTTTTCAATCGAACAATATGACCGAAACAATAAAATTAAAGTACGCCGATTTCTGTAAATATAAATGTTAATTGTGATAAGCCTAAAAATCAGAAAGTGTTGATAATAAATAATAATGTTTTTATTTAGAAAGACAAATATTCGATTTTCGTGGGGCTGTACATTGACTCTTCGATAAGTATTTTTATATTGGATGTCTTTCCTGTTTAAATAGCGTCATTTACAACTTCTTTTAACAAGTTTTACTAAATTAATCAGCAAGCGTTTCAGATGTTTTATTGTCAAGAAATTGTCACTTTTTATTGTTAGATATCTAAATTTCAAGTTATTCATTAATGAACTTGGAATAATATTTTATTTTTAAGCAATAAAGTTTGAGCTACACAAACAAAATACGTGATCTAAATACTCATCAATGTATTTGACTTCATGCGACAAAAAAATCGAATTTCCAAGAAATCGAAAATTCGACATTTTCTTCGCACATCGCTTGCTGATTAATTGATTTTTTATTTTGTGGTCTCAGTCTAGGTTATAACTTAAGTTATTTTGAATGCAAAAAGTCGAAAATACAGCAATATTCTCGTTGTAGGGAATATCTATTACTCTATTTTCATTTGTTGCATTTCTCCTACATTATATAACTATTGTATTAAAAGTGAAAGTGTTTCAATAAAATACTTATATTGGTTTTCCAGTGTTTGTTTGTTATCGGTAGTTATCAGCGCAGTGTGAAGCATTTCGACGGATAACTTCGAAGTAGGAAAAAAAGCAGAAAAAGTCACAAATACCAGAAATTGTACCTATTAGAAATTTTCGAAGCAGTATTAAATTATTCTTTGTGCGATAATGGTTGATTTGAAAAGCTCAATATACCGCCAATGCAAAAGTCAGGGTCACCACTTGACAAATGCAACAAGCAAAAAAAAATTTCCATTAATCTACGGTCGATTCGGCAACATTGTAATTTTCACCATCCTAATAATTTTAAAGATGAACATAAACAATTGCTTTAAATTAGATAGTTTTTGCATTTTATGATTACTTGACCTTCTTCAATGTCCAACATAAAAAGGATTCGACTTATCAAGCAAATTTTATGCATAATTGTTTTTTATCGGCAGTGGAATTCCGTCACTGATGACGTGGAACCAAAATTATAGTGTCACAGCAAAGAATAAAAAGTTCTGATGAGAAAAAACGCGCTTTCATTCCAAGTTTTCTAAGCTTGCAGACGGAAAAACCTCACATAATGGAGAAGGAGCGACTTTCTGAGCATCGCTGGCGACGGCGACTGAATGCGGTTTGCCGAAATCGCGATAGTTGCCAATCTAAATCGTTTGATAATCTGTGGTTGTTATGACAAGTGACGTGCTATTGAAAGCAGTGTTGTTAACACTTTTGCCAAAATGCTGGAAAGTAACATAACTTTGTGTTAAATATTTGTTCAAAAATATGTTTAAAAAAAAGGGTAATGTGCGGGGCGATTAACTAGAACGCCTGATTTTGATGGGATTATTTCTAGTCTTTCTAGCTTGAATTGGACGTTATAGGGTTTTAAATAAAATTGTCTCATATTGCATCTCCTTTTAATATCAGTAAAATCCCCTTTTACATCCTTTTCTTTTTCGTCCGATTTTATTTCGAATTGCTTGCTCTCATTTCGGTTTGCATCTCTCTTTGATATCAACAAATGCGTATATTCCGTCTCTTTTTGAGCCAATACATAATTAAACTGTCGTGGTGCATAATTAATCCGAGACATTTTAGAGAAGACTTGTGAATCGAAAAAAGCAAAATTCCCCAATGCATCACGCTCATGTCCTTAAAAAAAATTAAATTTGCTAAAACAAAACTAGGTTGGTGGTCTGGATTTAGAAAGACGTGACAACTAAGACAAAACGCAAACTTCAAACAAAAATATTGACGTTTTGAATTCAGTCGCTGCATTTCGACAGTGAAAAAACGTTAAAATACCGATAGTGGAATAAGCCACAGTTGATAGTCATTCTACACAACCTTCCACGATGAGTATCAGTGCAGCATCGACCCCAACCGTTAAGGAGGATGACATGGAAGAATGTGGGCCCCAACCGATTGCCAGGCTAGAGGTAAAAATCGCCTCACATACAAAAACAAGTTATTGACTCGCATTTATTCAGGGTAATGGTATCAATGCCGGCGATATCAAGAAGCTGGAGGAAGCTGGCTATCACACAGTTGAATCTGTGGCTTTCGCTCCGAAGAAATACCTGCTCTCAATCAAGGGCATCTCGGAACAGAAGGCAGATAAAATTCATAGTGAAGTGTCCAAGTTGGTGCCCATGGGCTTTACAACCGCCACAGAGTTCCATCAGAAACGTGCTGACATGATTTGTGTCTCAACGGGCTCCAAGGAACTGGACAGGCTTCTTGGAGGAGGCATTGAGACAGGCTCAATCACCGAACTGTTTGGGGAATTTCGAACAGGAAAAACGCAAATTTGCCACACTTTAGCAGTAACCTGCCAAGTTAGTCTCGATCAGTTAATAAATGTTACAGATAATAACGTTGATTTCTGCCATAGTTACCTACGGATTGTGGAGGAGCTGAAGGAAAATGCCTGTACATAGACACCGAAGGGACGTTTAGGCCGGAAAGGTTACTTGCTGTAGCTGAGCGCTTTAAAATGGAGCCCCAGACTGTTTTAGATAATGTCGCGTATGCACGAGCTTACAATACTGACCATCAAACCCAACTGCTCCTGCATGCCAGCGCCATGATGGCAGAATCAAGGTCTGTTACCCCCAAAGCGGCTCTTTTAAACTAACTTTTAAACATTTTACTTATTCTCATTAGCGTTCTTTAAACAGGACTCTAGCGGTAATGTTTCCTTCCTCTAATTCGCTTCATTCAACAGCAATTTAATAAACAAACTTTTTTCAGGTATGCTCTATTAGTGGTGGACAGTGCAATGGCTCTGTACAGATCCGAGTACTCCGGAAGGGGTGAACTAGCTGCCAGACAAATGCATTTATCCAGATTTCTGAGAATGTTGCTCAGATTGGCTGATGAGGTGATTTCCGAGCGCATTCCAATGTGGGAACAGTGAAAATAACCGATTGATTTTCAGTTTGGTGTTGCTGTTGTTATAACAAACCAAGTCGTGGCCCAGGTGGATGGGGCTGCAATGTTTAACGCTGACCCCAAAAAGCCTATTGGAGGCCACATAATGGCTCACTCATCCACAACTCGATTGTATTTAAGAAAAGGTAGGTTTGGTGCGCGCAAAACGAGTTGAATCACTGATGTGTTTATTCTGCTTAGGTCGCAATGAAACCAGAATGTGCAAAATTTACGACTCGCCTTGTCTGCCTGAAGCTGAAGCGATGTTTGCGATAAATCCCGATGGCGTTGGCGATGCTAAGGAATAAGAAAATGTGTGGACTAAGTAGTTAAGGCGGAATTATCGTTATTTTTGAGATAGGAATTGTTTCAAGTTCCATAAGAAGTGGCTTTATGAAGCAAATTAATTTAAATTTAGGTTAACTGGAGTAAATATTTAATAGAAATAGAAAACGACACTAATTTGAGCTGGTGCACTGTAATAGGACAAATAAATCAATTGTTTTACGACAGTCGCTTATATTTAAACTTTGGTAACGTCCATATTAAACAATTAAATCAAATAACTAAGATTAAAATCTCAGACTACTACATTAATGACTGAGTTAAAGGGCAACATAATGTTAATAATAGGTCGGCTCAAACCAACCAGTAATACAAATGCTTCATCTAGTACAGCCAGTATTTCCGGTCTAACAGGCTGTTCGGATTAACAAGCGAAACCTTTCAAAAATTGTGCAGTTATTTGAATTATTTAAGAAATTGTTAAATTGCGAAGCATTTTTACAGTAGGCAGTTTAGAGGTACTTTTGAGAAATTAATTTTTAGCTAAACATGTCCTAGGTCTTTCTTAATATGCAATCGGCAGATCATCATCGTCATCTTGCCCGATCATGAACTCATCGTAAGTTCGATTTCTTTGCCCAAACTTCTCCCTCAGCCATTTAACTAATTCAAACCGCTTACTTATATAAACACCACATATCACAAAGGCAATTAAAAATAGAGGAATGAGAATGCCCGCTACAAGGGATCCGCTACCTTGGTTGTCCACTGAGTTGGAGTACTTGGGGGTTGTTTGGGGCTGATCGGCCCAGGTCGAGCATGTGAAGTTGAGCTCGACGTAGGAAAGCCCGCAAATGCAAGAATTGGTAAGATCATCGCACACTTCAGTGTCCAGGCAAGAACCATCGTCAATAGCGTTGGATGAATTGCACTTTCGCCCCACTGAAGGTTATTAAAAATGTCCCATCTCAATATGGATTAATGCTAGATTTTTTGTCTTAAAAGTGAGGTGAAATTTTATGTGGAATGTTCTCAACCAAATGGCGTCTGCTTGTTTGGGTGAGAAGCTCCAGAAGAGATTGTAAAATCAAGTAGGTTAAGAAGTAAGAGCTTACCTTTACACAGGGCTTTAGTGAAAAGAAAACAGAGGCACAACAAGCCGACATAAAAGTTGGCAACAAACATTTCTCCGGTTGTTACATATCGTTGAAAAACAGTAGACACATTACTAATGCAGCATCGAATGATGCTCTACATATTTCCAGTATGACCCGAAGCCTTTATCTACAAAGAGATAAGCAGCCAATAACGATAACTTTATCGGAATCTACCTTTTTTTTAAGCAAATAGAAAAACAGCCTTGTTTGAGTTGGACGTCCGTATGTACACTAGGCGAGGCGTTGAAATCGTTTACCTTACTGATTGGACAATTGCTGCTAAACGGGGAGCATTCAATTCGATGCACTTATTCAATTTACTTTTGATGGATTAATTTGAATCTTTCCGGAACGAAAATATTACGAGTAAAAGTATACAAATAAGACGGGAACACTTTTGACAGAATGTCATAAGAGACGTCAGTTGTTAACGTTATGAAAAGACGCATTGCCAGATTGTGCACAGGCCTCGAACAAAACAACTGCCGCAGTCTAGCGATAGAGAGAGAGAAGAGATAAGACAGCAATTTTTTTTATGTTTTGTGGACTACGGGGTCAAATTTACTGTTGGTGGAGATGGAGAATTTTCTGTGGCATTTACTCAATCAAAAATTTCGATATAAAGACACTTTAGGTAGAGAGAAATGATGAGGGTTTTTATTTATTTATATTTTATTAAAAATAAAAACATTTGATTGATACAAGAGGGTATTTTTCAGCGGTGTTTTACGAGCTTTGGCAGTTGAAACGCTTTTCGTTTAGTATCTTAATCTGAAAAAGGATACACTCTAAGTTCAAAAGTGCATTCGCCAAAATGGCCCGAAAATGAGTAACGAATGGTTTGCTCTTTGCCTTCTAGTTCATTTTCAAACAAATGACTAGTTTCCTGAAGGAGCTGAAAAACTCATAAAACCGATGCATTTTCAAAGAGCGCCGTTAACAAATCGAAATATGCAATTGTTGTTTTTGAGATTAAAAACAGCAGATCACCGGAAAAACGTTAAGAGACTATTTATTTTTTAATTGGAACTAAATGCAGTGTTTTCAATGACAAAAGCAAAATTATTTCCGCTTGTTTTAATAATTTAGTCTCCATTACTTTTGTGCAAGGGTGGCGCAAGATTATTGCAAAATTTCATGTTTTCCGTCCCATTTTGCATGTTTCTCGGAAGCAAACTGAGCAAGAACGATCGTTTTTACATCATTCCAAAGAGAACTAAATGGCCTTTTTAGAAAGTGAACCATCGATACGGAAATGTTGGGAGTTTTCTCAAAAAATAATTGAATTCAAGAAGTTTTAGATTTGCGTGTATTTTTTTGAGTTGCAAAATCCACTTGAACATGGCGCTGTTTTTTTCGAAGTTTCTCAAGAACCATTCGAGCCAGAGAATTCGTTTTGGCATCGTTGGATAGAGAATTGAATGGGGGGGGGGTCATGATCCCCATGACCCCCCTTCTGGATCCGCCCTTGCCATTACCAACAATCCAGATCATTCTGGTGTTTCTTTGCTCGTGCTAAATTAAGATTGTCCGTCAAACGTATTCGGATTTGTTATGGAATCAATAGTTATTTGCGATTGATTTTCATTGGTCATTTAAACTTGCAGGGAAAATTCAGGAAAATCGGGATCACCCGGAAAAAAATACAATTATTAACACCGCATTCTTCAAAATGTCAAGACTTTGGCAATCTAAAAAAGCTTTAAATGAAACTGCTTAAAACAATGTTCCACTTATGCAGTTCACCCGCAAAAATACTCAATAAGTCACGTAAAAGTCCCTGTCTGGTATTTAAAGACAATCTCTATTCAGATCCCTAATAACGTCCTCAACACAAATAACTGCGATGGCAGAGATATTAGATAGCGATCCGTTAAATACATCTGAACCATTACAGTTAACATTATAAAGGTTGTTTTTTTCAACTGTTAACAATAAAGAACCTTTGGTACCGGACTGATCACAATCTTGCATGCTAGACGTGCCCCGGCAATGTCGTAAATCCTTTAATTCTTTTACCACAAAAGATAAAAATCAAACAGAATGCGCGTTGTAGCCTATTCGAAAGAATAATATTTCCCTTCGAACCATTTGGGACCCCGAACGAAGGTTGTTGTTTATCAAACCCGATCGTCTTGTTTACTTAGTTGATTAGCGGATCGGAAAAAAATGTCTGTGTCTATCTATGTGCGCCCAACCGATTCAAATTGTTTGGACAGGGTGAAAGCTAGTGGAAGTGGAAGTGTTGCGCTTCGAGAGCTTTTAGAGGAGCTCTTGATCAAAATAAAATCTCTGCCGTATTTTGATTATGCCGCGATGCCGTTTCGATAGGGGCCCAACTGTAGGGCTTGGCAACAAAGCTTTGAATTAACATTGGCAACAACTGAAATTGAAGGCGCTTTCAAGAATGAGTCTACAGGGTGATTCAAAATTGGCGTCATTCCTTTGAAGGGTATATAGGAGCCTATAGAGAATACGGGAAAAATATAGAAATTTTTTTTTTTCGAAAATTTCAAGAATATATTAACAGTTGAAGATCGAATTTCAACTTAGTTATTAAGCATTACAGTTGAGTCCGGATATAACAAACTTGAAAAATGAACTAAAACTGTCTATCAAGGCTTTCACGGCCGGTTAAATCACATTTAGGAA